CCTAGCCGAGCCCGAGCGCCCATCAACCTCTCGGGCTGCGAACTCAGTGACCGAATCACATGCAATGCCGAAACGACTCTCTTGACGACCAGGACGGCCGTGAGATGAACGAGACGCAATCTTCGTTTAGCGGTTTGCTTTGTCGCTTTCGAGCGGTCCGCTGTCGGGACTCGCTCCGCCCTGGAGCTATGAGAATGTCTTGAGCAGGCAGTTTCCCCCGCAATAACGGATGGGCACCGTCCCGACGCAACCTCACCGCGAAGACAAACGAGAAGCCCCTTGGAAAACATAAAGTCTCCCGAGGCGGCTTGTTGTTTTCGTTGAGTCGGGAAAAAAAAACATCGTTCGTTGTTGACTCTCACGCTTGGAGTCCGCTCACAACACACCAGCAGTTTGTATATATGTTTCAGAGGAGGGTCTTTGTCCATGCGCCACACGCGTGAAAAACCGAAACTGGTGCCGCGCTTTGGACGAGTTAGAACTGTCGACGGAATGATTCGACAACATGCAGTCCGCAGCATCTATCCCGTGCAAAGTCACAAAAGGGCTCGTGAACGCGATTCTTGCTCGCCGGGTGGGAAGAGATCACTCGAAGCGTCATCCGCGGTGCTCGTTGATGTGAACGAGCACCTAACCTTTGGAACGAAAGGAAGTTTCCGGTCCTAAGGTGAGCACTAGCGTACGCGAATCCCCGAAATTCTCGAGAGCTTACATCCAGAGCTCCTCTTTTCCAGAGACTCGCAATCAAGGATCGTTGATGAGAACTGACCTGTAGGAAGCCGTGGATTGATTTCCCCGATATTCAAGAATCCGTGTGGTGCGTTAACAAGACGAATTCGCAGCTGCACGACGTCAGTGGCGTCTAATGTCGTCGGGAGAGAAGGCTGTAGCGGCGTGAGACTGCCGCTTTTTCTTCAAAGTGCTCCTTCTTCTCCGTACGCTCACGCGAACCTTGCCGTCGCTGAGCCGAGCATCGCATCGATGATTGCATTCAGCGAAACTCCGCGAGTGTTTCCTTCCAATCAAAAAGCAGTCGACCCTGGCAGCATCTTTTGCCGGACAATGTTTGGATTGACCCGCGGAACCTACAATGTTTGTACACACGAACTTCTCATTACGTTTCATTGATGGCTCCGCATTCTCATCGGTGGCCCCATCTGTTTCTAGATTCGGCATCGGAGGGAAAGTTGAAAGCTTCGATCTCGCGAAGTTCCCCCAATGGAATTCCGTCACCTCAATGTGCGAGCGATACAAGTTACCTTGCTAAGACTGCTAAGTTGTCTTAGCTCGACAAGGAAAGGACTCAACGTCCACACCGATGTCGAATCTCTCTCTTGACGCGGAATAAGATAGCTGAAATGATAAATAGGCCGGCCGATCGCGGGAGATGACGGCATTCAATGTAGGTCGTGCGAGATTCTCTATCACGTAGCTGGAGATCATCCGTTCATTAGCGGTTTGGAGGAGCGAACGCGTTGTTTGCTCTCTCCGACAGCGAGCGCTTCTCATTAAGGATGTGGGAAGCCGCCAGGCAGATCTCCGCGTCGAAGACGTTAAAAGAGCTCCCATTGGCCTTGTTTTTTAATTCGATAGGAGGGACGTCGTTCCACGCGGAGAGCTCGCTCGAGAAATTATTCCCTCCAATCGAATCAAGGGAGAGAAGACTTCGAATTCCTCGAAATTAGTTTCTCCCCCAACTCGATTCCCGAGTCCCGGATGAGGTGGACAGAGCACACGCTCGAGTTCCACCTCCGTTCTGTGTCTCGTAAAATCAACGCCGACGACCTCCTGAGCGTGAGGCTGTGAACGTGTGTCGAGTTCCCCGGTCACGGAGCACTAATGACAGCTCGCTGCGCTATCCCCGGCGCATGGGAATTCGCCCGAGTATCCCCAAGAATTGGAGTCCTACGACTCTCTTTTTGACTACGCACTGTACAACTGCTCGAGCTGTACTTATCTCCCCCCGAAGGTCCGGAGAAGGGATTATATGGCTGAACGCCACAGCTAATCCGGTGACCAAAACTCGATGCGAGGAGTTAAGTGAACGATTGAGCCAATTAGCGCGGGAAAAGCTCACTGGCTTCGACAGATACCTCCGCCTGTCGAGCAGGAATCGACGGGGCCGTGTTAGAGGGGTCTCAAGTCTCAATGCGAGGTTCCGAGGAAGCCCGCTCCCAGGTCCCGGTCAGCGCCAGAAGCTTCCGTGAAATATGCCCAATCTAGGCGAATCATTTACTGCCGGCCATCCTCAACCGAGGAAGTATAGTCATACAGGAAGGGAGGGAAAGGTAGAGTTCATGGAGGCATCAAACTGCACTCCCGGGCTGATTCGGGAAGTGTCCTTAACCGGGGCGGACACCGGAATATCTAGAAATCATCACCGTTTGGGTACGTAACGGTAGACCCTACCGCTGGAGAACAGCCCCATCTCAAAGCTGGAGGCCGGCAATCCGAAGTGCCTGCTTCGGATTGTCTTCATAAGGATTCGAGGTGAACATAAAAAGTTGTGGATACAACAAAGCCCTTGTTCCTTTCGTGGGAGCATTCCTCATGAAAACGTCGCCGAACCCGGTGAGCTGGAAACTTCGTTGCTGAGTTTCTTCATTCGACCGAATCCCTGCCGAGGGTCCTTTTCGGGGGCGTTGTGAATCTCTCGGAAGTTTCCCTCGTTGAGGATCCGGTATCTCGACCCCATCCATTTTAAGGATGTTCCTCCAATCAGCCCGTTCTGAACTCTCGGGGAATCCCGGCGCTAATCTGCGATTACCTAGATGGGGATGACTTCATTCTGCGATCAAAGAAATGGGTCTCCTGCTCCTCGGCCCATGAGGTCCGAGATTGGCCGTGCCCGACCATGAGGGCCGACTGGCGTGTTCGCTAGCGGCGACGGCGGATCGTCTGCTCGCTTGGCATACGGCCAAAGGGAGGAGGCGTTCCAGGAGGCGAAAGGACCCTCCAGGGTCGTGCATTACCTCAGAGAAAGGTTGCTCATCATAATGCTGTTTTTAGCGTTTTCGGACGATTATTGACACGGCTCAAGGCGAACACGATGGTAGACGTGTACTCTTCCAGTGAATCCGTCAATTGTCTTCAGGTGGGTGAGCGAATGGCACGAGCTTTCTCCGCAAACGGCAAAAAAAATACGTGGATGACCGTTCGTGACTTTGTTTATCTCTTGAGCAGAGAACTATCTATCGGTCAGCCACGTAAAAAGCAAGAGAGATCGGTCGAGTAGGTCGGTTGGAACCAACAACACACCGCATGACCGATCCTGGGAACGGCAGAAGCATTTGCGCACATCTTTTCAAGACACAGCAATACACTGACACTGATTCTCCTCGGATCACCCCACGAGTATTTGCCCCTGTATGTTTCAGCAGCAGAATAGCTTGTAGCCGATGGACCAATCCGAGCCAGGTGCGCAAGCAGTCGCCGTGAACCGCGGGCCGACCGAGTCAAGCAGCGTACGGCCTTTGTCAGGCACCCGTTGTTGTCCTTGTCGCCGACAAGGTCCTTGCGGCGGGGGTGGTAGCCGTCGTGGTTGTGGTGCGGCGGCGGCGGATCAACGTCGTTGTTGTTCCCTCAGAAGCTAGGGTCCTTTCCCAAGCGGGTTCTCCACCCGTGCAGCGGCCTGCTAGCGGACGGGCGGGCAAGGCGGGATGATGGAGAACAAGGAGAACTACTCTTCCCCTCTAGCTCCGTTGCCGTCCTCTTCTTCAACGCCGACCATCGCCAACTGCCTTCAGGAACAACTGCAGCGGCAGCAGTTGCCGCAGCCACCAACACCTCAGTGTCTGTCTGATGTGGATCCTCCAGCGCAAGCCCCGGCCCATTCCTTCCACTACCCACCAGCTCCGGGAGGAGTCTCTCACCCCCAAGTTCCCTCATCGGTCTCTTCCCACAACATTCGCCACTTCCAGCAGGAGCACCCGAGATCGGCACCCGCCAAGGTGGGTCTCTCCGGCTTCCGCAGCCCCGAGCGAACGGGCAATTTGTGGAGTTTTGTCTGAATGAACAATCTGTGAATTGGGAAACATCGATGGAATTGGTTTGTGTTATCGAACTGGTCGGTTGACATCGTTCGCCGGTGTTGTCGAGGTTCTCCCGACCGTGTCATGATCACTGGATATGCTTTCGGCAGCGGATGACACTAGCTGTTCGAGTGAGAGGTGTTGTTCACTATGTGCTATTCTGGTACTTTGTTGCTCTTGCGAAGATTTGATCGAAATTATTGTGAGTGCGCCAACGAGCGAAGAGCACCAGCGAGTCGGAATTCCGCGAGTCGTGCCGTTGCTCGCTGCGACGTCTTGTTGGTGGTGACAGCCATTCGTTGCTGATTTCTGGTCGATTCAAACTGAGGGACGAGGAACAATAAAACTGGAACCTGCGAGATATATAACGAATAGTAGCCCTCTACGCCGTTGTGGGTGTGCAACGTCGCCGGCTGCCGCGACCGGTGTTCAGGTGTGGCCCAAGTCGCTCAGAATCGCCGATCACTCGATCGAATACCGCGATTTTGAGCGCTTGCTTCTATTTCTGCCTGGAGCCACTTCCAGAGAATGTGTCTGTCAGCCTCAGTGAGTTTCTTGTCGAAATGCTCCTTGACTTAGGAGGCGTTGATCTTGTTCACTTTCTGTATGCGTTCCGATGAACCCATTCCTCTAGTCCTTAGAACCCTTTCCACGACTACCACGGACTCGAACGAGACGGAAGCGACAAGTATCCTCATTAGGATCGTATCGATCACGTTTTGCGGTACACAAATCAGAGAGCCCTCATTTTTAATGGAAGAACCCGATTGCGTGACCACTTCCGGGCCTCTATCCCTGCTCATTCCGCGTTCGGACCGCGTACTCAAATATGATTATAGAGACTCGTAGACGTCTGCGTGAGGGTAAAGCATTTTTTCCGGAGGAGATCGATTCCTTCCAGATTCTCAGAATGCCGTGGGCAGTGCCCCCCGCCGGACCGTTATTGGTTTCGGGACGACTCTGGAAAAGTCAACCCGGGAAACATTTGAGTCCTCTTTGTTCTCCTCCGCTGTATCAGATGTCACTGTCGAATCCTTACGACGGATACCCAGCAGACGTCGCGTCGCCGTCTCGGAAGGCCGCACTCGGAATCCTCTCATATATCAATGCTCCCTTGACCCCAGGAGAAAGTCGAGGCATTACTGAGAAACTTTCCGGACGGAACCGTCCTGCGTCCGGCTCAGGCTCTGTTCCTTTCTCGTGAGGTCGACCGCTCCCGGCAGATGTCCATCTCCTCGGAGAATAGTTTGAGCGCCATCAATCGATCAAATATTCCTCTAAGCGATTCCGTTATCGTCTGGTATCTTTTTTCGCTCGCTCGCTCGTTCACTTCGCTCGAACAACGATACCATCATCTACGTATCTGCATCGCTCACTATAATCGCAAGCACATGGAGACAACCGTCCGCGCTAGTCGTTCAGTCAATGTATCGTTGCTGTTCACTTCAATCTGAACGACAGTCCACGAATGAATGTTCGACCTGGCGATTCCGACTGACTGTTCATTTGTCTGAATCTAACATGCTCACATTGCTTCTCTGCTTGCTTCGCTTTGATTCGGTGGATCCACATCACTTATCACCTCACCTACCACGATAATGTCCATCACGATGCCAACGGCTCCGCCACTTCTCAACTCAAGCCGACTGTTCTCAACCTTTCCGTGGCGAGCCCAGCGAGCTACTCGTCGCATCGCAAGTCCGTAAAGGTAACGAAGGCACTCGAACCTCGAATACAAATCGACCGAAGAGGGCAGAAGGCAACGGAAGGGCTAGCGATATCCTCTCCGAAAGAACGTCCGACGACCTCTTCGCGAAGATGCCCTGGAAGCGAGTTGTTTCTGGGAATTGAGTTCATTTTTTCCGAATCGTTGTTCCTCATTTTCTCTCAAGTTCTTCCTTCGGATCTCGAGGCCTCGAGACATTATCCCCTCGGTCCGAAGCCCATCTCGACCGGGTGAGCGAGGGGCCGTGTACATATATCCTCAATCGGAACGACCACATCAAATTGTGGAATGGGGGATGGGGCGCCCTTCTCCTTGGCCTTCATCCCCCTACGCCCGTATACTCTCGAGAGCACCATCTCATTTGCTTCGAGGCCGGTTCAATAGGCGGGAGAATGTTTTCATGCCTCGCTACGTAATGAACCGAGGAATCGGCCGTTTCTCAGATAGTCCGGGGAACCGAGCACCCTGATCCGTTGATTGAGGTCTTTCGGTCGAGCGTTTCCACTTCCACGGGACGATGCTGTCCCCAGAGTTCATTGCTTTCCTTACTGAAATCAGACGCGATTTGCGAGACCATACCCTGCGGGTGACTAGAAAAGATCAATCATCATCCCGGGTTACGCGAATCAAATTCTGTAATAAAGAGATAATTTCGCGACTCACCGATTCCGTTCGGGAGAAATGCGTCTGCGAGGAGACGGCTGAAGCGTCCTCTGCTGTTGATGGAGACTTTGGGGAATTCGTATAAAAGAGCCGCAGTCGGATGGGACCGCCGGTTTTCTTCGGTGATGACGACGAGCCGCTACCTCAAGATAGACGTCTTCAAGCCCTCGATCTGGGCGTAGGATTACCTCTAAGGTGATGAGGAAGCTTGAAGAGACTCGAGGGCAAATGTTGACGTAATAGCAAACACAGCTGACGCACAAATCTGATTTTCATCCGAGAATCAGGAAAATGAGGTTGTACGGTCACGGGATAGGCTATGTCCGGTTCTTGCCCTACCCCACCTTTTCCCCGCCACTAATTCTGGCGTCTCGACCAGGAGGCCTGCTCAGTCGGAAGAAGTATTTCCAATAGTTCCTGATATAGCCCCGGAACCCTGTACGATTCCTGCTTGGTGAATGCGAAGGCATGGGAGGACCCACTTAGCCATTGCTTGTCGATCACCGTAGCGGGGCAAACCTTTTATTCTTCGTGCTCCTTAGTTCTCGATGGAACCCTATCCTTCAAGCCCGGGTAAACCGCCCCTGATCTGAATTATCTGATTAACACCGCTTCACGACATCCATTCAGGTCTATACAACGGCCGGCTCATCGAGATCGTGGGCCAGGACGCCCAGTCCCGTTAAATCATTCTGCACACCTCTCGGCACACCCGACTGTAAGTGGAACACGATTACCCTATTTTCCTCTCCTCTTGTCCGTCCTCGTGAGTGTTGCATCGTACCTGTATTCGTCCCCTATGTGAGTGCGGATATTCCTTTCGGGCGTATGCTTTCCGTTCGCCACGGAAGACCTGCTTCGCGCATCGTTACATCGACAGACGCGGCTCCTATCGATACTACACAGCAAACGAGTCGATGAACAATGCATGCGCCTAGTTGCTGTGAGGAACCCAATGCCGCAAGACGGAGTCCCGCACATTGATTGTCTCGATGAACAGAATTTCGCGACGAAACGAGCGGTGGCAGCAGTATCTAGCTCAGAAGGCGCAAGCTCCGTCAATAAACTCCTGAAGAGAAGCGCCGATGTCGTAAATCATAGCTTCCCGCAATACGGGCTCAAGCGTGAAAAAGTTCGCCTTCGACAGAGAGAGCTCGAAATCGAAAGATTCCCTCCATCGCGTCTGAATCTGTCGACAGAACCTTCTTGTTCTTGGAGGCGCGATCGCGAAAACTATGATTTGATCCTTGTCCCTCGCGGTGAACGTCATCGGCTCTCGGAGCAGCTGTCGCCGCAGCGTTCTCGAGTCGACGTTTAAGCTTCGAACCGTTCGAGCTCACAACAATGAATAGTCGCTGTCTCTCTCGGCCTCGAGCGCATGCTCTCTGGGAAGCTCGTCGAACAATCGGAAACTTCCAGCCGGAATCAGTCTACGAGACAATCGGAATGATTGGTCGCCCCTTCTTGCTCGAGCCGTCTGCTTCGGCCGGAGCAGCGTTCTTCCTCTTTCCACTACTTTCTCCATGCCGATATGTGCATGGCTTTCACGTGCGACACGTTGTCTTCGTCCTCTCGAACCAGATTGCGTCAGAGAACGCATTCGTTCTCCTTCTTCATGCATTCATGGGGTAGGGCGCGCACAAATGTGAATCCGCTGGAACAGAACTATGACTCCCCTTGACGTCTCAATGTTCCTTCTCCCAGTACCCTAGTCGAAAAACTGGTTCTCGCCAATGGATCCAAACGACGGGGGGCATGAAAACGATCTCCTGTGCCAAATTGGGGATTCGGCTCGAGACGCGATTAGAGCCTACGCAAGATTCCAATCTCTGGAGAGGATCTCCAATCCCGGCTCGATTCTTAGCATCGATGCATGGCAGGTCGAGCCCCACCCGGTCCAGCTCGTTCATCCGCACTCATGTGCGATTTGGTCCTGAGCTCCATCTCATCGCAGCTCCCCTCGACGCGCGATTCTGACTCTGAGCGAATTGACTTGGTGGTAAGTCGGACTCGTCAACGCTTGTTGAGCGAACCTACGGCCGATGAGGTTGCGAATTCTCTATTCCGGAGCTTGGAACGGTAGTTCCTCAGCCTATGATGCTGTCGAGCCTGACTGCCAGTAAGCAGTCAGATGGAGGGAGGGTAGACTGAGCAAGACGGGTAATGCGGATCATTAAACACGAGAAAAGTTCCGCGAAGTTTGTCTGATCGAAGCTTGTTTTTGCATGACGATCCGTCAGCGGCTGCGATCCTTTGCTCCCCTGCTGCTGGTTCCGGAAATGGCGGCAACATGCTGAAACAAATGGGAGGATTCACACCGAGATAACTCGTGGCCCCCTGTGTTTTTTCCATGCTGGGAGCTTATGTTCTAGATGTGTGGGGGCTTTTGATACACAACACCTGACGACCTCATGAAGAAGAGCTTGAAGATTCGTAGCGACTGAGGAACGCTCCGGAAATTTCTCCCTTCGAAGCTCCACCCACACCCCTGCGGGACGTTTCGAGCGTTGCCGTGAACTCGCTTTATGGTCTGGGAAGATGGATCGAGATCCCATGATGTTTTCAAGCCACTACTTGTCTGGTGCTTTCGCGCCACGGGCCCGAGTTCGAATTTCGTTCGACTCGATTCGGCCGTCGTAGTTGAATTCCCTCGCTCCCAATCAGGAACGTGCCGTCCACGGTGCGTATACCGCTCACAGCAGTGGTCGGATATGGATGATGGAATCCGTCAGCGTGCCGTACCGAGAGTCAGCCGAACAATCGGAAGGTGCTGATCCTCGCTCTCGGCTCAGCCAAGCAAGGATCAGCCATGCGATTAGGGATTGGTGTGATCGAGTAGAGCTCAACGTTTGCATCGGCAAGACCTTCCTGCCGGCTCCTTGTTAAGCCACCGGGGGCCCTCGGGACCGCTTCGCTCTCTGCTCTAAAATTACAGCGACGTCAGCCGTCTCGGACGTTCAATGTGGCTGCTTGTCTTGTCGACTCGCCAGAGAGTCCTGCACAGCCTGTCGTTCTTTCCCGGTCCTAGCGTGACTCTGCCAATCACCCCGCCTGATTCTCCCTGAGCTGATGGGCGTTCTCTCCCATTCTATTCTTTTCTATTTTGGCGGAATCTCTCCCGGTACGGCCGGAGCTCTGGTCGGAGAGATTTTCTTAGCAACGTTTTTCTGTTCGATCGATAGTCTGGCGTGCTAAGTCTTCTGAAGGGTATCTCACAGGCGATGTCGCGTCTCCAATAAGGGGAGCTCATGGCTCGCGAGTAAATATCAGCGAAGGGCAGCGAAAAGACCGGATACTAAATACTTATCTATGTGCAACGGTGATGGGGAACATTGTGTAGCTGAATACCTTCCATCGAGGTAGACCCTGAAGGGAGTTGCTGCGGGGAACATACAGGATAAGTGCGGGACCGACAGGAACATCGTGCTTTCCGGCTCATCGCATTCTGCCTGAGCAGCGTTGTCTGGAACTGACAAGTGGCTCAGACTCTGACTACTCTCGTCCGCGTGTATAGCGTTGCACGATAAAATTCGGTGGGACTGATCATTTTCTGTGCCATTGAGAGAGGACCCAGTCACCAGGCGTGAATTATTCTTTCTTCTTTCCAGTGGATGAGCGAGGCAGCAATGGCGCTATATCTTCCAATGAGCCCCGTTCGAAATCCGCTCGGACATTCTACTCTTCTAAATGCCCGTCTTCGCCCATCAAAGTTCGTTCTGCAAGTAAGTTTCACTATTTCTTCCTAAGGTTCGCACTCTCTTGTTTTGTAGACATCGTAGCTAGCTGTACTGCGAGAGAAACATTTAACAACGAGCAACTTTTTCGAACTGTCTCTGGACAACAGTATGCGCATATATACGAGTTGAGGAAGCTTCAAGTCCCCGAGGTCCAGAGGAGCCAGGGCCCCTGTGTTTACCGAGAGAATTGATAGGGGAGAAACGCAAATCAGCTTCCGCTCGGGGTATGGGCGGGTTCTCAGTCGCAGAAAGGTCAATTCCGCAGCGCGGCTCGATGATTCCGCAGCCCACTTAGTATATCGCTCTCACGAGAGCTTTCATGCTCTCTGCTATCCGTCAAAGGGAGCAATATCTGTTCGGTGATACCCGAAACGTCTGTCCTCGGCGTAGTTAGAGGAGCTTGTGCCCGGGATATACCATGTGTAGGTATGAGGGACGTATGGGAGAGCCGACTTTCTGAAGAGATCAATATCCGTTATGGGCTACGGACCAACAGCTGATTCGTGGGTGCGCTCGATCCTGAGGGAACACCGCCTCTTTCGTGATGTGAAGACTGCGATAAAGACCGAGAGGAGCTCCCATTCCCTTCCAGCCAAGGGGGATCGCCGCGCAATCAGTTCGTCGTTCTCAGCTCTCTCTTCCAATGTACTCGTATCTCTCATTCGAATGCCAAAAAGACTCCAATCCACTATCGTTGAGAGTACCCCGCATTCTTCGAGCCATGTATCGTCTTGTTTTTCCGTCTTTGATCCGATTCGATTGAATAGGGCCCTCAACTTGATTGTCGACAATTTGGGAGGAGGCGTCGATGTGCGCTAGGAAGGATAGGAAAGTCTTCAATCTCGGCTGATCTTCCTGTACAGAGCTCCTCATTGCCAGGCTGCTCAGCGATTTGATTCGTTTCCGATATCACGCTGTCACCACAAGTCAGGCTAAATGTCTGGAACAGCTTCGCACGGCTTCGCGAATCGAATCCATGGGAGCGGGAACACTCTGTACAAAGGAAAACATTGGGTGGAGCCGAGGGATGGGATCTCATCCGTGGGAGCCCATAGTTGTATCGTGGAACGATCGTCCGAGGATTCGCTGGAGTACAAGGGAGACTTGAAGCAACTAAAGAGTATCTTGTTGCAGTTCTGCAGATCGTGAAACTTCCTGATGGAACCGAAGAAGCGGTCGTTAAGCGCACCCCGGAGGAGAAGCATCGGTCGCCTTACACACTATCGCTCAACAGGTGAGTAGCGACTTCAACAGATTGTTCTCCGCCGGTGACATCCGATCTCGAACATCGAACAGCCTGCATTTGTTCCGGCGCTCCGCTTCGGAAGACTTTTCTGTTCCTCGAGATCGTTGGCATAGTCTGATGGCAGGCGGATCTAGAGTCGAACTCCATGGATACATTCCAGCGGACAGGTCCCAGAGTATTTTCCCTCTATGAGAGGGGATTGTGCTCTTCTGTCGAGAGCTTCGAACTCATCGAATCGCTCGAACCTTCCGGAAGCGGAGACGATGGGGGACGAATCTATTGCCGGTACGCGGAGTTCTGCGAGCGCTTGGGAAGTCGTTCGCTGCGATGGAGGGGAAGCTCCAACCTAAAGGCAACATGAGCGACTCGGGTTGGCAATTCGACTTGAGGTACGCCATACAAACATGTCGCTCCGACCGTCCGGGGGACTGACACGGAAGAGATTTTCATCCTCGAGGACAGTGTTGCCAGGGAGGCTGATACAACTCCGCCGGCGTGGCCTCTGGTGTTGAGCTCGGGCTGCTCCTTTAGCTATTCTCCGTTTACCTCGTATTATCCGATTCCTGGCTCGCTGCAGATGTGGGCGACCGCTACTGTCGATATGATTTTGATGGATATCGACAGCTTCTACTGCCGTCGATGTTTCTTCGTTGAAACCTTTCACGGTGCCCTGAACCGGATATTACGTTGCCCATGACCACAAGATGTGGAGTAATTTTCAATACGGGCTGCTGAGGAATTCCAGCTCAACGAAGAGGAAACCCTGAGGGGTCTCTCCTGCTCGTGTCTGAATGAGCTCCTCCCAAACTCCGGGCCCGGACGGGGAGTCTTTCGCACGCAGAGCCTGCGCGGAAAGACAACGTCGCCAGGAACGTTCCATGCTCTTTCCGGTCAACAGCTTCAGGGACGTAATTTCAGAGAAGCGAGAGAAGTCCCGGCCGACTTCCTCTCGCCGACGGCTTTTGGCCTAATCAGGAGTTTCCATATTTCACGAGACGACGTTCTGCACGGTACTCCTCTCAGTCGGAAGCTCCAACCAAGGCAGTTTCTGCCGACACGGGACAGACTGGGAACGTCGGGTTTTCTCGTTTGTCACTGTCGTCCTCTCAAGCCTGCGGAGTGAGTCGCCCCCTACTGATGTCAACCAGGTTGGAACGGAGGAATAATCCGAACGAGCAATGGAATCGGAACTCCAGGAGAAGATGGACGCAGACGAAGAGAAAGACTTGATCTTCGCTAAGTTCGTTCCGCTCCAACATCTAATACGTGCGTTGCATCGGACGCGGCTCATTGGCCGCGTTTGTTCTGCTGATCTCCCGTCTGTCCGCTTCCGTATTCGCTCGGTCTGCATATCTTGAATGGCGCGCCTGTCACGTCGCCGCCGTCCCTGCGAATCGAGCCGGCGGGGCGTTCATCCGAATGGAAGAGACCGGCAGGAGATGGATACCGGTAGCCGCGCTCAGCCAGCCAAGTTGCAACGAATGAATAGGAGGCATGAGCCGTCGGCTGGTTGTGCACGAGAATAGGATGTAGGTCCTGGCCGAGCCGATATCTCCTGTCATGTCGGCCGCGAAAGCTAGCGCTGGATTAAAGTCTCAATTCCTGAGCCTTGGAATTCGACCACCGACGAGGCGAGCAAATCCGTCAGAAAAAGCCACAGATTAGACGCAACTTGTCATAGTCATAGCCTTCGAAGATCAACGCTCGTGCGCAAAGTTCTACCTCCCAATATGGTCGTTCATCACCACGGATCGCTAGCAGAGCTCCGCTAAGCGATGCACCCACTTATTAGATCGGTGCTGATAACGTAGTGAGCCTGTATATCCGAAACTTTTTCCTTTCGATGCAGGACTCCCGAGCTGACCTCGCAATGAAGAGTTCCAATTAGTCGGACGTCGACATTCGATCGTCCCGTCGATCCGGTCATTGAATCGCCGACTGACAAGAATCCGAACGGAAAGACGAAAGCTCAAGGAATCGGAAGGGGCAGAGGAGCCAGAGGTCCGCTGACGCCTGGTCGACACGACCCGTTTCCTTCGCGAGACTCTCTGGAGACATCTGACTGGTTGGGTAGGATGGTTTCGGGAAGACTCCGCTCCGGCACGCTCCCGTGCTCAGGGACGTTGTTCTCCGTATCTGGGCAGTCCATTCAGTATCGTTCGGGTTACCGGTGTCTATCTCGATGCTAGCTCGGCCATGGTCCAATTCTTTTCCCGCCTGTTCCTCCAGGATATCTATTCCAGGGCAAAGACGAGAGTCAACGGGGAACGGAAATCGATCACGAACGACTTCGATTGAACGCGCTGCCTAGGTCCACTTCAGCTGCGTGGAAGCACTCGAGTACTCGTGCATACGGAACGAACTCGCGACGTTTCTGTCGTCGGCGTATCCGAATGAGTTCGTTCGCGTGAACGGCTGTATGCATGGAGCGTAATAAGCGCGATACCATGAAAGAGTAAACAAGCAGCGCACGGAACCGAGGACGAGTTAGCGCCTGCGGGCTCGAAGCGCGGAGACCGCCATGTTGGGGGACACGAACAAATTCTGCGACTTCTCCAGCGTCGGCCGAAATTATCTGCAGGAACTCGCGATGCAACACTCTGTCGTATCTTATCTTAGGGAGAGCGGCGACGTCCAAACTGCCGTCCACTCCCCCCATTCCGCCAAGGACAGCAAACAGCAAGGGAGATCAGCGGGAGCATGGTCTCTTTCCGCATTGCGACCATGACGAGCTTTCCCCGCGACCTTTCGGTTCTTCTCTTGTATCCTCATTCAGCTGCGGCTCTCAGTGCCTTCGGCGTGTTCGATAGAGCTCATTGGACGACGCTCAGTTCACCGAGCAGCGTTAAACTAGAGTTGTTCGCCGATGTAAACTGCGCTCCAAGGGTAATTGCGTCGACTCCTGCATCGTTCGTTCTTCGTTGCTGCCTTGCACTCTAACCTCGCCAGCGCTCTTCAGAGTGCTACTTTTTCCGCTACACCCAGCCGCAGCGTGAAGGTCAATGACTTCCCAAATTATTTCGAGAACAGAGGCCCGACGAGCCGCCTAGCGATGACTTATGACGTACTAACGATAGGGGAACTCGACGGCTCCCGACGGTGCCGTCCCTGAGCTTTGCCTGCAACCGATGCTGGTGCTCCGACCTATCGCGAAACGCGTATGAAGATGAAATTACGTCACCCGCGAAGGTCCTATACGCTCGTCTCGACCATGTATCAACCCCTGACCCAATCAAAATGGGGGTCTGCGATTGAGAGGACGGCGGCCAGGCTTGTTACGATGTACTGTACTTCGAGAGACAACATCGGTTCGGCAGACAGTGCCAAGTGACGGCAGCTATCAGCCAGAGCAGGCCTTCCTGGGTCTGCGGTTGTGCGTAAACTGGAGGGGAATATCCCTTCTAATCTCGGCGGTCTCGGGGAGAGCTCCAAATTCTAGATTCTACGCGAGCAGGCCAACCGTTTCCAGGAACTGTACTCCCGCTCGGAAATCCTCACAGATAACGGGCGTTGATTTATTTTCGCAGGTGCAATCTTCATCAATGTCCGGTGATTCTCGACGAATGCGGTCTGCAGGTGATCTGCTACCGCTACAATCACATCGTCGAGGTAGATAACATGTCTCAAATGAAGCTCCTCTACGCGCTCGACCTCACAGCCAATCATATAGCGCAGTTGTCCAATCTTTACACCTTCACCAACCTCAAAGTGCTCATTGTTGCTCAAAATAGGTGAGTACGTGACGCCCCGTAGCGGCTTCTGATAGAAACATGCCCGAGCGAGACGCTCACGAGCCAATGAATTTTCTCACCGAGTGTTCAATTGAACACCGATCGCGATGAAGCGTGGTAGCGGGAACTAATCGTGAAGAACTCCCTATGCCGTCAATATTGCTCCGCGGCATAATCGTCAGCTACTCGCCCCATCCCGATGCCCCAACGCATGTATGAGCTCATTTCTCGCCTCGGAAGTTAGACTCGACGGCGGATGGCTTCATCCGACATCGAGGCTTTCGAAATCAGGATTATGTAGGTCCCTCCACGCTCTCAGGAATTCATACACTTCGGATTCATTGTCCCGCGATGCCGGTACAGTGCGACCTCACACTTGAGTCCCCTCAAGTTGAGTCGTCCTCGTACTTGAGTCACCTATTTCTGTCTGACCTATGGAACCTGAATTTTTAGACTTGGCCGCGTTCCGAGCGGGATATTATTCATCTGAGCAGATCTTGTTGATCGAGGATGGACGATTGAGTGATTCGTCGAGGAAAGAGCTGTAGTTCAGAGCAAAATACGTCATTTTTTCGCTCGCTCGTGACGATTCTAAATTGAGCTCGTAAGACTTTCAATCGGATCATGATATGTATTTTTCATCAGTTCAATACGTCCTCACAAGTGTGTCTTTTCGGCCGATCTGCAGGAGAGACCCATTTTTCAGCTACTCAGAGAACCTTAACTCAACATGAGTCGTTCCTCAACTTTGGTCGCACCGTGTGGCACCAATTGCTGACTCGACTTAAGGTTGCACTGTATAATTTTTCTGCGTGGATCCGGGGATCCCAACATGTGCTCCGCATGGAAACAGCCTTGATTGCCCCCTGCAGGGCCTTGTTCGCAGATGATCGAGTGCAGCCCGATAGCTCCTGATTATGCATCATCATGGATTATATAATACATTACTCGGAGTCCAGCAGCAGAATGAGTGGCCCTATACAAGGAGGCGGTGAACCATCCGCCTGGCTGAATTCACTCACCTACTCGGGCTATGAATCAGAGACGGTTACTGAATTCCTGTCCCATATTGCGGCTGAATCAGGCGCGGTTCCGAGAGCTCAAGATTTTTGAGTAGTTCCGCCTGTCATTCTGGTCGCTGTCGCCTGAGGCTCGCCGCTATTTATGGCATTCTATGAATATCGCGCCCGGCAACATCGCGCCCCCGAGGTGGCTCGGCGCGACGGCCGAGCGAATATGAGAGTCTATCCCGCCGTGTCTGTGATTGAACAGGCTCGATTCTCCACGGTGCGCAATAAGAGCGTGTCTGCGTCAGTCAGCGAGATTCCCCTGGATTCCGAAAGCCCGAAACGAAAGGGGCTTTCAGACGGCCGATGACGCCTGGAAGGCACTGCGAAGGTTCGAGTGCCTGAGTGAAAGCACAAAACCGATCTTGTAAGCCTATCGTTGCAATCTCCCGGGGTAGGCCCTGCTCGCGAGGGAGGTAGATAGTTATGCCGAAGGAATTCGATAGGGAGTAGTTGGGTAGGTAGAAGAATCGTTTCTTTGCAATGCTTGCAAGGAGATCCTCACGACCCGCCGGAGGCTATGAATGTGACGTGCCTGTCATGTATTACCATATCAGACGAAACCCCTCCACGTCTAGCTGATCGGTGGGTTTTGGAGGGTTCTCGCTCGGGACCTGCAGACCTTTTGAGAGCGGAGTTGCGGAATGAACAATCGAACGCCGCAGCTCTCTCCCTTCTTGATTCGTAACACGTAAAAGACTGAGATATCTGATGCGACAAGGAGTCATAAGCTCCCTCCGAGACGATGTTCCCCTGTCGAGAAAATCAACCGCCCGGCCTGTCTAATTCCGCGTCGGTTGTCATTAGGCTCCAAGGAGATAGCGATGGAACTCACAGGGGGAGCATCGGAGAGGGATCCGCTCTATTTATCATGTCATATAAGACATCTTCCAAGGTATAGCAGTCGGTTCAAGGCCCCCACACACGTCATTCAAGCCGCATCCGATCGTAGAATTAGCGGCTTGAGTGGCTGCGAGAGAATTTTGCCGCTTGCGCTGGAGATCATAGAAGCGAGTTCAAGTTTTAGTGCGAGCACTTCTAAGAGTGGAATGAAGAGCGTATCTGCCTCATTTCGTGCTTGACTCCATTTGAGAAAAGAGAACAGCAGTTCAGGCTACAACGTTCTTCCTGACGCTCCCCTTGGACTGCGCTGATCGCCTAATGTTCCTAATCGGCCCCTGATCCCTAATTCATGTGAATTCTCCAAAGGAGCCGCTTCCCATTTGACCCTGATGCCCCCTCCCCCCGATCTCTCGAGATCTTCCCATCGGCCCCTATCGCGCATCCCTATCTTACCTGCTCTGACCGTCTTGACTCGCTAATGGGAGGTCTCTCTCGTGTTCGGAAGCTCTTTGCAATCATCCTTTTGTGGCGCTCCTCATCTCATTCGTGGAACGAGTCGTCGAAGGTAGTTGGAAGGGTCTGCGGCGGATGTCGCTCGACGCTAAAAATTGCCCTCTGAGCTCTCAGGAATGTGTTTCCAGATGAGCCTCGGTCTCGCGTCTGATCGCGGAACAGCGAAAAATTCGAAACGCTGTTAAACTTCCATTAGTTCATCGTGGACGGTCGGTAGGCGGGCCCCGTTCCGCGCAGAGTAAACAGACTTCTTGTTCGGAAGTTATTCGGTATGGGCGCCGTACTGCGAGGAGTCACCCCTGAAGCCAGAGCTCGCTGTTTCTCCAGCTTACCTCCGCGAGGGACGGTTATCACTCCCCCCTTGCTTCCGTCTGGTCCCCTTGACATGAGAGAGAGGTTCACGATTCTGGAGGCGGTGATTAGTGACCACGAAAGGCCTTGACGGATTTTTGCGATCCTACGCCGGGTCCCAAGATGGGGAACAGGGCGACTCGACGTTCCTACGTCTCCTTCGGGTAGGAACTTAATATCGAGGCCACCCGCTCACGAGCCCCATAGATTAGGAGCGGTCAATACTCTGATATTTGCAGGAAAACAGATGACTCTTTCGAGAGGCTATCGGCAGCGTTCGCAAGGCACATGCTTCTGCGATCTGAATCAGAACTTCAAGAGGTGATAGAAGCCAGAGGAAACCTCGATATTTCCTTACTCGGACTTGATGTACTTCCGAAATTCTCGCGGAACGTGTTCTGCGCTGCCTGGATTGCATCATGAGCCTCGTCTCTTGACAGTGTCGAGTGCTCTAATAAGATTTGGGCTTTACTCGCTATCGGCCAGCTGCGCTCCGGTGCAGCGAGGACGGAGAACTAACGACGTCTTATGCAGAAATTCCTCGATACGTGCACTGCGCGACGTCGGCTCCTCGACGCAAGGTAGAGGAGTTGCTCTCTTCAAGTAAATTTGTGTTTGAATCGGCGGCGAAGGGAACCACTGGAAGGATTCTGAGAGGGAATCGACAAGAAAATGAGCGACCTTCAGGTACTTTCCGACTTGACTCGCGCCACGATGATCGCACGACTGAGCTCGGTATCGATATCGCTCGGAAACTGTGGGGTGTGAGCGGGAAGGCATTTTGTCAAGCTTACAACTTATGGCAGAGGAGTCCGGCTGGCGAGGGAAGAAACCTGTTAAAGGGACTGGTTTACGAGAGGTTTCCACAAGCCAAGTTCACCTTTTGTCGAAGAGCTCTCTCTCGAGGCTGTTTCCGCTGTCCGCCTCAGAGCACGGGCCACCGAGGGCTGAAGCACTTGCGCCCGACCTCAACATAGAGGTTCTTTCGAGATGTTCTCGACCGAGTGGAAAAAGGCCGGCTGACCCGCGGCTCTGATGCCCCTCCGTCTACTGTCCACGCATTCCTCAGAGGCCGCTCGGCTGATAAGAAAAAAATCTTCGACATTGGACTCGAAGTGAACCCTTTTTCATTGAACGTGAAGGGTTCGTCGACATCGAGACTAGCCCCGCATTCGGGCAACGCGCCGCATTTCCGGAATCTCGAGAGAGTTCGTGCCCTCGAGCTTTTCGCATCGAGGGCCGTATGCTCGGAGAGCTAAGTACCTAATAGAACTGAAACTTTAGAACAAACATTCGGTGCTCGATCCGGCTCGGGAGAGCGACCGACGAGCTCTTTCTCTGCTTCGCCCGCATCGAAACCTCCCACCAATAGAATCCATGCGCCATGGTGACCCGGCTTGGAATGGCTCAAAGTTTCGAACTTCTCGGGGCAATAGATCCGAGGAGCTGAGAGTTGTGGGCGAGCCTTCGCGATCTCACGCTTTCCCTTCTTTCCAGACTATCTTCGTTGGACGGTATTGAATGTTTGGAATCTCTCGAGATCCTCGATGTATCGGCGAATCAACTTCAGTGTCTCCCCGAATCGGCTCATCTGACTCGGCTCCATACGCTGAACATAGCCGAGAACCGCGTTGCGAATTTGAAGAATGTTTGGCACTTCCCCAATCTTGTCGAAATCAACGCCAAACGCAACCTAATCAAACAACTGGGCGGAGTAGAGTTCCTCGACAGACTTCACAAATTGTTCCTCAGCTGCAATCAAATCGAGAGGTAGGCTCCGCGACAGCCGGGCTCCAGATCTCCATCCCAGAAACCTCAATCCAATATTTATGGGATGATCCGAGGGTCAGCATGGTGGAAAGAGTTTCCGAGCTCGACTCCATCGATAGCGGCTCAGTCCCTGGGGAGCGCCATCGATTTCGCCGAGAATTCGGGAATTTAGACTGCGAGACTCGCGAAAACATATTCCCCAAGACACGAGAGAGCGGTTCGAGACTTCGAGGAAATATCGGTCTCGCCCCCTCCGGGCGGGAGCCTCGGCGTAATCTCAGACAATCTCTCTTCTCTGTGAGTCCTTCATGATCGCGCGGATCAACGGCACCGCGGCGTCTCTGAGATAATGATGATTCTAGTCCCCGGAGAGCGAACCCCCACGACGCTCCATCGTCCGCTTGGATTACCGCATTTACGTCGACGCTTCACGACGCCCATTATGGGCAATTTCCATTCGGGCCGGGAGCCGAGGAGGTGTAGATTCTCTTCATCGATTTAGAGTCGGGATCCGTAGTCTTTTCGATAACGACGAGGACATTAAATCGTCCTCGGGAGAATAACTCGAGCTTCAGAAACACGCTTAGCAGGGAGATTCGCCGTCATTATCCATGGGAAGCTTGGAACATTCCAAGCCATTTGAGCGCTTTGAGTCGTAACAAAGCCCGCTGCCGAAATAGTTCCCTCCATCGTGGACCGTGTAGAAACTTCTTTCGGCCCCCATTCTTCTCGGACCGGCTGCTCCTACCTGGCGGCAGTCATTGTTCGGCATATCAAATTCACGCTGGGGCCACAACTCAAAGAGCAGAACATTTGGAGAAAACTGTTTTTTTTCAGCCTCGATGCCCTGGGCCCTCTGTCCGAGTGTGGAGAGCTCTGTGAACTAACATTGAACGGGTGTCCTGTTGCTCAACTCCCTAGCTACCGGCATCATGTCATTGCGAATGTTGGCAATATTAAGTATTTCGATTACAAACCTGTTCTGGTGAGTCGCCCGTCATGCAGAGTCTCCTGTCGGAATCGATGAGAGGAGCCCCGCTCTAATCGAGTTTCACCCCAAATTATTGTGAGTAAAAAGGTGAATACGAACCATGCTTCCACGGGACGATTGCAGGATGATGAGAAAAAGTCTATCCGACTTGCGATTCGTCGAGAGGAGCAGCGTCGTATTTTTGTGTCTAAGATGGATCTCTTCGAGAAAACGGTGTCGAGGATACGGCTGTCGTGCAAAAGCTGGTGGAGCGCGCTCGAACCAGAAAAGTAGGTCCCAATGCTGTGATCAGCTAGAAGTTGCTAGAAAATTCCCATCCTGAGCTTTCTCGGAAGCTTGTCGAAGACTCGGAGCTTTACAGATTTTCTCAGCATCGCTCTCGTTCAGCAGACATCAAGAGATTATGTTGCCCTGAGACATGAATGTTGTACATACGATGGGTGGCCAGATGAGCGGTTTCGAGCGGTTTGAGAAACCGAGGTCCGAATATTGATGATTAACTCCATCCGCCCGGAAGACGATATACTTTTACTGCAAACGTTCCCAACTGGGCCGATTCAAGCGAGCATTGACTTCAGAAGTATATCAAGCGTATCGAGATTCGTTACCGTGGTCTGACATGTCTGGAGCGGGCAATGCGCCGATGTCTGAGATTGTTGAGAAGTGTCCGCAACTGCCCTCACGCATACTCCTTTACTGCCCCCGGGAACTGAGCGCGTTGCTTTAGATTTAGATTATTTCCTCCGTAGCGAGGTGTCCGGTGCGAGACAGGTGACTAATTCCCTTTCGGCATAATTTAAGAATGTCTGAGGAGGTGGAGCAGGCTCGTCGCTGCGGAATCGGCGTTTTCGTACACAGCGAAGCCGAGATGCGCTGTGACATCATCATGCCCACCCCAGGACCAGCTCATCAAACGACACCCACCCAAAGTCAAGCGACTCCGCCGTCGGCAACGAGTCGCGCGAGGTGAGCTTTGATTCCTCCCATACTCAAACGATTTCGGCCCGGAGAATGCGGACGAAGAGTATCCAGAATAATTCAGGAGGTGCCCGTCGCTCCGTCATCCCGAGAACATATCATAGTGATGATGATGGATCCGTCTCATCCATACCTTTCCGTGATGATCGCTTTCTGTGCTATGGTATCCGCTTTTGACTCTCATCGATGAGTTCGATCTAATTGAGGGAATACGCAGGTTCCCGCAGCTCACTGCTACCATATCTCCTTGAATTATTTGCTCCGTCAAGAGACCTCGGAGGGATTCCATCAAGGACATGTTGTGCGGCACGAATGATGGAAATGATCCTCGGGACAGTGTTCCCTGGGGCAACCCTCATGAAACTCATGCCTTGGGTTTCAAGAGTATCGAGAATTCTCGCTTGTCTTCGACTTCATAATTGATTCACAGTTCGGGGACCAGACACTCGTCGGACCGTGCCACGATCCTCGAAGAGCTGACGCACAAGATCTGCGATATGGCGGCTTTCCAACTCCTGCAGTTGAGTGAGGAATACGAGAAACTATCGCTCTGGGGACCTGCCTCTCTACTTAGTGCTCTGGTATCTCCTGTTGTTATATACGATCGCGTCCAGACCCTAGTCCTTCACTGCGCTCTGCTTACCCAGGGTGACACCTTTTACAATCTGCTCACAGTGCTTCCAAATCTGGCGGTAAGCATGAAATATTCATCGGATCGACGACGGCCGACCTGTAGAGCTCAATAGGCGACATATAGATTCCGATTCTCGGATAGAAAGCGTTTCGAGGCTTCCAGTCTCGGCCGGGGATAGATTCGGAGTTTGATTGAAGATTTACGTTCCTGAAGTTCGATGAACTGACCGATACTTCGCTTCCCCGTCGAGCTAAAGCATCTTCAGCGAGCCTGCTTGCTGAGAAGGCGTTGATGGTATCAGCGACACATCCACGTCATCCTGTAAAGTGAGATTCGAATTTCCAGGAATTGTTGATAGAGGACTGCGCTCTGCGAACCCTCAGAGATCTGTCCATTGTTTGTGATGCAATTTCCAGAAGTGCCGACCACAACAAGGTAAGCTTCGAATCCCCTCTTGGCGAAACCCACGAGCAAGGCAGAATTCTCTATGTTCTTCCGCAAAAATCGGAAGCACTCGATCGTTCCGGAATCCCTCGCGGGCTGATGCGCTCCGCTTCCGTGATCTGAAAATTGCTCTCTTTGTGGATGTCTGATGCAGGTGTTCAAAAGTGTCGGAATGGCAGGGGAGGTAGTGAAGTGCGGGGAATTCTGGACACATTCGTTCGATATGAGAGTGCAAGTGACCTAGTCTTTCGGCGCCCAATCTTCCCAGTCTTCTCATCGCAGAAAAGTGCATCTCTCTCAAAGTCTGATCGCCACGGAAGTTGTCGTTGAGTGATTCAGTCGAGAGGCAACCGATTATTCGAAGAGCGCTCTTCGCTGAAGTTCACAACCGGTCCGGTCACATTGCCGACCACTGCCTTTGAACCCAGACGGGGAGATGCGCCTGAGCCTAATCCGCTGAGATCGAGAATATTGAGCGAAGTCTCGATGAGCGAACGATTAAAGATCCTCTTCGAGAGTGAATAAAGTATCTCTCATTCAGTTTTGCGGAGACTGTACCGGATCATCCTCAGGGAGCTCAAGGGAAATTGAATCGGAATCTCAGAGCAGAGGCTAACGTGAGGTTCCTCATTTACTCCAGGTTTGTTCCATGATGATCACTGACATCGTTACGAGGACGTGTCAATCGGCCACCATATTGGCAATAAGGTGTCTTCCAAATAGGATTATCACGTTCAACTCGAATGTTGTGAGTATCGAAAGGCTCGATCCTCGGCATGCAACTCCGTTGGGATCCTTCATTACTGAGGCCCCTCTTCCGCGGTTATATACCATCTCCGTCTGAGGAGAATAGTGGTTCATCTCAGGCTCTAAGGACTTCAATTTTTTTGTTGCTTGTTCGCGCCAGAGGCCACGCCGGAGATTTCCGTAGTCCGCTTGATGAGGTCGTGTCATGGTCACTATTCGGCGAGCTCGACCGTTGAGAGGAAGATTGAAATCTTTGGAGCCGAGAGGCTTCCGCGCTCGACTCCTCGTAACTCGGATGAGATCTGCTAGTCTCACCCCGGTGCAAGAGACGAACCGTTCCGAACTGAGCGGAGACTCATCAAGCGCAGGGAGTCAAGACGTCTGGGATCCTGAGGTGTCTCTTGGAGAGAGGGTCAGTCTTTTCCTTCGGGATCTGCATCGTTTAACGTGATGTTTCCGGGTGCTTACTTCACTCTGCTGAATACAGGGCGCTCCTGTGGGTTCACGAGCCGACGTGGATAGCGGCTCGATCACGTACCAGCTTCGCGCATCAGGCGGCATTGGCGACGGAGGCAAGGCCTCGAATAGCTCGCGAGTGGATATGAATATTGCTGTGAGTCTCGCTGAAGCTACCAGATTCTAGTGTGCCTCGCTGGAATCCTGATTTCAGTCTGAGCGCATTCCGCCTTAACCACGAAAGGGGGTTTCGCCGGGAGAGTTCCATCGTTTTGGGAGTGTCTCCAGCGATTCAATCGGCACCCAGTCATTTCTGGACGGTTTTGAAGGAGTCCTGCGTTTTCGAATGCTTCTCCGTCCTCCGATCCCAAGGGGTCGGAAGTTAGGGTTAGCTCGGAGTACCCAAAGTCGTCTCCGATTTCTCCATGGACTCAGAATTCAATCGTCCACATCACGAGCAAGGCTGTGAAAGAATCTGACCCATACCGCGTCTCGCAGACGTGTCCGTAGACATTGCGAGGCCATAACCGAGGCTGACCACGGTCTGACCCTCCCCCTCAGTCAGTGTGGAAAGCATACGTAAGTGGAGAACGGCACATTGAGCCACAGTGTTAGCAAGGCTCCTCTGTTGATTTGAACTCGTTTGAGCACAACCTGAATAAACTCGACTGTGGTGGAGCATTGTGTGGCGAATCTTCGCATGCTTCGAGAGGAGCGCGGTGCGATTTTTCGCGATTCTTGCGAGAGAGGACGTCTTGGACGAGACGGCTTGTATCCTGGAGCCGGATTGAAGTCCAAGAACCCTTCTGCGGAACATTGCCTCGGCAACAATTTTCTCCGAGTGTGGACGTGATCGGAGAACGACGAACCATTGCTTCGGAAATGCCTACGCATTGCGCGAAATATCGAGTCGAGTCGACCGATCCGAAAGGCGCCCGAGCAGCTCCGCTTCTGAAGGTAATTTTCGACTCGTTCACCAACCGCCATGAGAACTTTCTCCTCCAGAGGGTCTTAATCTTCCCTGGGAAAGCCGCTCGGAAGTTTGAGCGCTCCACTCACGGAACACTCGATCCTCCAGGGAAACGATTTCACTCGTCTTGAATCTCTGAGGGTGGAAATTCCCACGAGACTTAGGTCTGATCATCTTTTTGTCCCCGGCTGGCTGTCTCATCGATGCAGCCCGAGGGACTCGAATCTGCCCCCTGCCAAACCAAGAAGCTCATTTCTTTGAACAGAGCTTTCGCGAATCGGACTCCGGTGCTCGCTTTCTTCGAGCCAGTCGGCTGTATCGCGTGAAAGCAGAGTCTGCAGATAGCATTAGCTCCGAAATTGGCTGCAATTGTTTCGAGACTGGATATAAGGTTCGGAGTGAACTTTTTCTGGGCCTCCACCGTGGTACTCGCGGGAAGCTCACACCCGCGCCCACCGTTCGAAAAGCGACCTTTGAGAGGTCATCACGAAGCGATCCTAGCTGCAATCAGGGTGTGTCCGGCGTTCGGGGTATGATTGAAAACGTCCTCCGTGAGAATGTCGAGGCTGACACCGCTGTCACGGTTGTCCAACGGAATGCTATTGATTAGCAAGCGGATACGGTACACGGTAGGCGTTTCGGTTGGCTTGATCTCAGGCACGATGCCAGATATTCAACTCGGGCTCATCTCGAGTGAAACTTTCGGATCCCACAAAAAGGTGATTCCCTGAGCGCGTTCCAAACGTCCTTGAACAGCGTAGGCTGGGAGCGAGTTTCGCGATCGCATTCTGATCGCATGCAGAGCTAACCAGTTCCATTATCCTTCTCCCAGGTGACCGAAAGTCAACGTGAGGCGGCTCTTCGATGCTTCCCCTCGAAGCCCCAAATAATCCCCTTGACCAAAAGTGAAACCATCGCGAAAGAGTCGGTCGTCGGGGTGAGTGTGATCACTGCTATTCGAACGTATTGATATATTCCGGGGGCAGACGTCGTTCCACGCTTGAATGGATGGCGAAAATAGTGAAAGTGAGACTATCGGCGAGAAAGACTTCGTCGTGAACTCTCATCGGGACCGCCGGGATTCGCTGATCCTGTCCTAGACCGTAGCTTATGTTAGAAGGAGCGAGGCACGCGACCACCGATCTGTGGAAGGACACTCTCGAGGCTCCGGGCAGCTCGTGAGTCATATTCGCCCCTAGATATGCATACGATCAAAACGGCCGTGTTCTGGCTCTTGCGACGCATATGTTCACGCTCGATCGCCTAGGTCATTTCGAGACGTCCCGTTCGATGGGCGACCCGATGCGGACCCCAATCGGGTCCCGAACTGTGTTTTTCGTCTCATCGATCCTTTACTTAAGTCCTCCATGCGTGAGGGTTGATAGATGTCGGGATAGAAATAGATATTAGACTTGCATAAATACTTCGCGATGACTGAATGGGTTTGCTCGAGCTGGACCGCGTGAAGCCCCCGGTCGCGAACGTGCGAACGCATTTATATCACTCCAGCCCCATGTACTCTAACTAATGAGGCGGATTCGGCCTTCGGGTTCTTCGACGGGGCACGATAGATGTACAAATTGGGAAGAAAGTCGGAACATCCATGCAATTAGCACGGAAGTTCAGGAAACTCCGGATTTGGGTCATTGACGTCTCCGCAATTTCTCGATAAGTCTTATGCCTCGGGAACATCCCGATCGGGGGGAATAACTTCAAAAATGCATGATGGCTCAGCACTTGGACACCGTGAGTCGTTTCTAGGTCGAAATCAAGACTGGGTGATTACAGTTGAGCTCAGGGAATGAATGCATCTTGTTTCAGGAGGGCTCTGCCATCCTCGCGTCCTGCGTGGCTCGTACCCAGGCGCTATACAATGCCTCGATCCTATTGGAAAATATGCTGATTATGTCACCCAGCAGCCCTCGCGACTCTCGCTGATACCTGGGGAACCAATCCGCATCGAGGATTCATGGGGAACAGCACACGGAAAAGCTGTCGCTCCTTCCCAGCTCTTCGAAGACCCAGGAGTTGCTGCAGAACGATATACCAAGAAATACTCTGAGCTCTCCCCCACTGGGAGACGAGGATCCCGGGGCAGTCGGGCCGGATTCCCACGCCTCTTCAACCGTCAGAATTACAATGATGGAGGGTGAATTTTGAATAGAGAAATCTCATGACCTGAGATCTACGAAGTGAATAAAGCTGTTTTGGAAAACTTTCAGAATCCTCATTCCAAGTTGAAACAAGAGAGCTTCCGAAGGCACTCAATCAGGACCATTCGTTTTCCTCTCACTTTCCCGCTTTCCTTTTCCAATTTATTCGCAAGCATCAACAATGCAGAACATAATAAATCGAAATGAAAGCTTTCCATATATATATTTTTCTCACATTCATTCTGGTGAAGATCGCCAGTAACAGAGGTGATTGTCCGAGTACGATTCGGAATAATCCAGATATACTATGTCCTTGAATATCTTTAGGTAGGTATATGATACTTATATCGCTCTCTACAACATCCAACAACGCAAACAGGCTTGCTCACACACGCGCGCGAAAACAAACACATAGGATGGGTGGCGTGAACGGTGGCAAATGAGAGCAGGATGAGATTCCCATGAGGAATGTTTGTACAATCGCGCAATGAGATTCATATCTTCGCGAGCGAAATAGAGGATCTGTCGTGATGAACTAGCACAGTTGTGATCGAGCTCAACTTATGATCTCCTGCTATTCTTATTCTCTTTTGGCGTTCGGTTTGCTCTAGTAGCTCTCGCTGCTGCGTCATTCAAGTAGAGAACTTGAAGACGAATCCATTGTCGACAGCAAGACGGGTGGATTCTTATAATAATAATAATAACAGCGCCTTGTTCCCATCCGCTGGAACTAGATCTCAGTCAGCGTTACCGACGACAAATAATCGCCGATTGGGCGCAACCCGCCTCAATGATTCTCTCCTTTATCTACACACGTCAATGAAGAGCATCGCGCAGCTCCGAATGATTGACATTTAACTGAACGGCAGGGTGATATTTGTGAGACCGGACTGACGGGCCAAATGTAGAAGGCGGTCCCATGGCACGGGTGGTAGTTCTTTCTCTGGAAACCGAAAGGGAAATATAATAAATGAAAATAAATTCAATAAATGAAAACGCCGGATTACCATATCTTCATGAAAATCACCTCAGATGTCACAAACCTTTCACTTGTCGGTTGCCTCTGCGCTGAGAGCAGAGCATACCATAGACCCGAATCCCGGGAATGTTCGCATACGGGGGATTGTTATGCTTGATGGGACCCAGAAGCGAGGAGCCGGTTGGGCATCGACAAACAACCAAGTAATGGGATTTTCCTGTTCTCGTGGATTGCAGAGCCAGTAGTTGCCAATCCTGCGGTGATTTGCACCGCCGGATAGACATTACCGGCTCGCAGACTTTCACCAAGTTGTAGGCCTGGAATATGCGTGTTCAAGGTGCTTATTACGGGATCGATTGTGAGCTGTGACCTGGTGCGCCGTAGAGAAGTTTTTTCGCCGCGTGATGAACCAGGACAATCAAACGCCATGTACATCAGACACTCCGACAGAAGCAAGGCGCTTTTCATGTTCGAAAGGATATATCGTCCCATCGCACGTCGATTGGTAGGGCATACCTTCTTCTTATCGCCTGACGAGATGAGCTTGATTGAGTGCTCGTCCACGTAGTCTGTCTTCGAGCAGGGATCCTTGAACTGGTTGCTGCACTGACACAGAGGCTGCGTTCGATTCAGTCGCACGTAGAGGGCACTGCAGACTTGCTGAGCCGCACACTCCGGCAAGGTTCCCCAAGATGCGCTATACGAGAATCGGGATCCATCGCCTCGGTGCGGAGTCAAGGAGTTCGCTATCGCCTGGAAGCCAATCAGCCGGAATGAGATCTGAGCATGACATGGAGCGAAACATCGATCGAATCAAGCATCGAGCATGATCTGGAATCAAGCTGATGACAGCATTTCGTCTACTTTTCGCCGCCGCTTGCGAACCTATCATGAGTCACGAAATCTTCCGCCATATCCGTTAACGCTCCTTCCTTACAGAAAAGTCATAGCGCTCTTTGCACCGCTCCGAGCGGAGGAGGTTCAGCCAGTCGGTCAGCTTCGAGGGGAAAGAACCCGCTGACGGACTTCCGGTCCGCGAGTCAATCGAGATCTCTAATAAGAGGGTCGAGAGTTCGGGACGGGGAATCGAATCAGGAGGCGAGTCGCAAGCTAGCTTTTTTGCTCGGGCTATCGAGTGGACGCGACCGAGAATGAAGTACAACCTCCCGATCACGCAGCAAAATCAACCCGATTGTCGCAGCGGAAGCCTTCCAATCGCAATTCCGTCGTCGCTCGAGCCTCCCCGTCACAGTTTTTTTCTCGTGTTCTACCGCCCCTCCCTCCCACCTCCTGAATAATCTGATTAGGCTGTCAGCGACTCTGAGCACCTTCAATTAGTTAGCAAGGGAGATGCAGATGTTATTGATGGGCGAGGCATGTTGATCGATTTTTGTTGGAAGCTCTTTCCCGCTCCGCCGCAGGCTGTTTCAAGGTGAGCGACAAGCTTCTGCTATGCAGGATGGAATTCGAGAACTCATCTGTCGATTGAGTTCAGCGGAAAGCCTCCGCGAGTTTCTGGATGTAGTCGTCCGGACGGTTCCCAGCACGAAATGAGTCGCGCTTTGATTCGGGTGATGAGCTCAGTGGCCCGCAACTTGACTCTTGTTGAGCTCCGAGCGAGTGAGATTCTCCCCTGCTCACTCGTTCGTCTTTAGCACTTCTTGCGGTTCTCGCCTGGCCGCGTTTGTCCCAGTGATGCTGCTCGTGCCGCTATTTCGTCGCCACGCTCGTCTTGATGGAAAGCCTTGCTCCGGTCTTTCCGTGCCATTTTTGTTCTGAAATCTGAAGCGAGTCAACTGGCCTCTCCCGAGCTCCGTGGCATAACCCGGCGACACTTTTTCCCTGGGGACGTCTTCCAAGGCCCAACCACGCTGGAGATCTCGGGTCGCTCTCGGTGCGACCGGGCAACTCGAACGAGGTAAATCCGGCTCGCCAGTTATCGATGGTCGCGACCATCGGTAGAGGCAACACCGAGAATTATCGCCCGAGAAAGAACGACTGTCAGGAATAAAACTGTGGCTCTGAACAGAACATGCTTGGAGTCCAGAAGGAAGTTTGTACCGCGATGCCGTGAGCGTTTCAGTGAGCGATCTTATTCTTGTAAAATTGAATGCGACACTCAAATAGATCCCGTCTGAAAGCTCTCGCGCCAGCGCATCTGGGTGGCCCCTTCTCTCTCTGGATTGGTCTTGAAACGGACTCTCCTGCTCCCGGCAGCGGAGAAAATTGGAGACGCTCCGGGGGAAGCGACACCCACTGCTCCCATCCATTGTGGAGGGAGCCTCTCCATAGAACGATTTCGTACCGATGGTCGGGGAAGTATTCCCTCATGAAGAGAAACGAGACATAACTTCCAATATTGACGACATCCGTTCTGAAAATAATGACCAACGAAAATCTAATCACATTCGTTCCTGCCGCATCGGATGCGGCGACACGTGGCGATGAAGGACCTTTCCTGAATGAAAGCTCTGCGGTGCTAGGACAGGAGCGCCCAATCACTGATAAATCGTTTCAAGTGAATTCTGATTCGGGATGTCGCAGCTCAAGTGTGACTACGCAGTCTGTGTGCGGTATATGCGGCATTGTTCGACGATTTCCGGTTTCATGCTCCCCATGACAAAAAAAAATAGAAAAGTCGCCATCGATTGTACCGCTCCTACTATCAAAGACGGCTCTCTTCGTCCTAATAAAACGGCGTCACAGTCGTGCCGCAAACATCTGAAGTATATTGAAAAAGAGCGTTTACATGGGGCCCAAAGCGGAATCCTCGAAGCCGGAGACGTTTCCCCGAATCCGTCGAACCAATTGTGCAGAAAGTTTTCACGCTATCAGAGTCAAACTTCCTCATGCTCAACGGGAATTCATTTTTATTGGTGTTTAGTGTTGAGAAAGGCGCTCCAAGGGGCTAGAGTTTTTATGTTGCTCATTGTCACCAGAACTTCTTCCTTCGGTGAGCATATCGTCACACGTCTCGCCAAGCTTTTCTTGGCGATAAAACTCGGAATCAGGGAATTCATCTGAGATTCCGTAGTCAAAGACAATGCCGCTGTGAGTTCAGAGAGACACAATTTTTCCAGGGCTATTTCAGCTCAGTTTTCCCTGATCCGCATCTTGCCGGTGGGACACTCTGGCCGGATTCCGCCTGTCATAACAAACGGGACAAGAGTTCGGCAGACCGCTCGAAACTTCAGTTTGGACTGTGCGTCCATGACCACTTGTGGTCGGGAACAAGCCCGGCACACTATGGGTCGCGAGTTTTTCTCTCTGATGAGGAGAGAGCCCCCGAAATTCTAGATCCCTCGATAGGCTAATCCCACCACACTGACAGTTGCGCCAGAAACAGAATTCGGAGCGCGCGATCCCATTCGGTCTTTTGGAAAAGTGAATGAAGTCTCGCAGCGCAGCGTTTCCGAGATTAGACTAGATCAGGTCAGATTTAATTCCCGGTGGGCATGAGAATCGATTTCATTGGTTCAGACTCCCCTTGAGAATGTTGCATAAATTCTGGGATTACGTCTCTGAGCAAAATAGCCTCGGTGGGTGCGCTAGCGGGACGCAGGATGAAAATTTCCCACAATCTGAGGCACACCAAAGCGGATCAATCGGAGAATCAAGTTCTCCCACGGATTGAAAGCCTACCAGACAATCGCTTTCCCCGATATTCCACCGAGCATGACGAGTGCCCACTTTCGCTGTACGCGGCAAGTGAGCGAAAACGGGCGGACGGACATCTGAGCGACGACGGTGCAGCCGCCGTGACTCTCTTCTGACATGTACCTGGGTTGCGACGTTGGGAACGGAGCCGAGGATAGATCGCCAGTTGTACTTTTGAAAATTCTGGTTTCCGTCACGACGACTCGCTCGCGAGGGCAATCAGAAGCTGCCTGATCGAGGTTCGTCACGGAGTCCCAGTGGAGCTATTTGAATAATTAATGACGGAGCTCGCTATCTTCTTTCAATAGAACTGCATGTTAGGGTTCGGTCAGAGGCGCCGATTCAGGCGAACTATCCATTCCAAGGATGGCGGAGGCACGAACATATCGCATTCCTCCTGGTGAAGCGAACCGACAAACAATTAAGGGACGGATCATGCTTCTACGTTTAGCGAAAGTTTCTTCAGAATGTCTGTCTTTCAGAGCTTTCGGTGGACTCAGCCAAGCGAACGGGAGCTAACACGCCCACGCAGGGGTAATCCAGGCTATCGAGGGCTGCGGGGCTATTCTGAGCCGAATGAACGTTTTTGATCGAGAGCACCTCGGTTGATTTATATCTAGCTCCCGACTTCCGGAACGTCGCTCTACTTGGAATTCCTTGCGGAATCGTGGGGAGCACAGCCGGCGCTGTCCGTGTTTTCTGAACATTGATGTGACGCAATGTTTGAGCATTGCTCAGACAAAAGTCCCGCTCGCCGGGATTTCTGTATCTGTCCACGTCAAGAGTCTATTCCGTTTCAAGAACTATCTCTCTCCGCGGGGAAAATGTCGAATCCATCGGACCATTAGATGTGACAGCCCGACGCCCGAGCCGTATGATCGGAATCCGCAAACTGCGACGGCAAGATGCGACAGATTATTGCCGTTCAATGTCGATGAGCAGGACTCATGGGCAGTCAGCTCGAGCTCCAGCCAGCGGTCGTTTCGCGGAACGGTGCTCGGTGAGACAAAGATGTTCGAAAAAAATTCAAGTGAACCATCGTCCATGGAGTTGTCCATGTCGTGTAACTAAGCGAGTGAGCGAGCTGAGTCAAACGGCGCACTGGCAGATGATGGCAAGCGATCGCAGCCGAGTTCTGATGTCTTTGTGAGTGAGTTCGTGGATTCGCTAAATCAGCCTGATTCGCCATCGACGAGAATGACGATGAGAAAAAGTGTTCCGTTACTTCTGTAAAGTCGTCATCGAGATGAAGATCCACGAACGTCGGATGCAGACCAACGGCCACGCGGTGCGATGGACTTCACGATTCCGTCGTCGATCTGCATCGTTTGATAGAATTCCTCCCTTCCTGTCGAAGGCTCGGCAGCATACGCGGCGCTATCTGTCACCTGGACAGCATGAAAACAAATGATTCTCCCGAGAACCTTCCCCTGCTTCAATGCTGCGCGAGGTCCGCGTTCACTTTCGCTCCGTACTTTCACCGCTGGGACGGCCGCGACGCGACGTTGTTGGCGTAAGCGGCGCGGCGTCAACACGAGCCATTGCGAGAAACTCGCACGGAAGAACCTCGGCGAGACCTCTGCCAATCCGTTTCAGCGGGAATAAAAATGTACACAAGACACAAAAACTCGAATCTCCCGCGAGGAAAGAATTCGACACGCCGCTTGGAACAACTACTTTATTGTGTTACCGGGTCTACAAGTTGGAACAGCTCTCCCTACCGTCGCTGTTAACGGAGTGTCGCCTCGTTTTCGGCGTCTTCCACATGTTCTCGTCGCGGGGCTTCGGCACCCCTCCCGGAAGTTCTGAACCCCGAGCGCCGTTCACTTGAACGACTCCGATCGGGAGCAATTTTTCGAGCTCCGTTCGATCGGAACCCATTCTTCTACTCGATACATATGTGCACTTTTTCCAGGAACTCGCGCTTCCGTCCCCGATCGATGCCTGTCACAATCGGGGGCGGCGACGTCTTTGAAGGCAATGATGACAGAAATGAAGCGGTATGAAAAATACACCTCCTTATCCCTTCCTCAGAAGATCGATCCCTTCCTAGACTAGGTAAATGGCAGTGTGCGTAAAAGCCGGAATCTTCTGCAGAGGCGGCAGCAGAAGTGGCGGATAGAACCCAGTCACGTTTTCGACTGCACACGAATCCATCCATCCATCCGGCCATACTCTCACGGCAGTCGAGCTTGTCGCGGGGGCAGCTTCGTACTTCGCAAGTGTCTGTCTAGTTGGCAAATAGAACTCGTTGGCTACCTTGGATGCGGGCTCGCATGTCGCTGCACTAAGGGAAGTGAATCCTAGAAGCGGATCGGCGCGAAGTTCGACTGGTACTCCGACGTGTAAACGGCCGAATTCGGTCTGGATTTAATCGTTCCCGCCGGATTTCTCCGGTGCTGGTCGGCGGGAGCGGTGAATCTAACCTTCGGCGTCCGTTTTTTCTCCCTGACACTTTTTGCAGCTGTTCGATCCGTTTGAGTCGACTGATCGAAGAAGCTCGCTAGATCATCGGTAGACACACACTTGTCAGCAAAACGACTCCGGGGCTGGTTTCGAGTGCTGGCCGAATTCCGGGGGCTGCTGTCTTCGGACGACTGCTCCTCTTCTAACCGGAGATCGCCCATGCTTTTGGTGGAATCCTTGTACGGGACCAAGGCGTTGCTGATGCCGCAGCCACACGTGCACTCTTCGTCGGATGAGTTCGTATCCCAATCCCAGCTTTCGTGGCCGAGGTCTCTTCTCCTCCGTTCCTGACGGTACTCGGCGTTCTCCTGCCAAATGTCATGTCTCTTCTGATTGCTGATGCAGCGGTAAGCGCTACGGTACTCTGACTTTCCAACAGCGGCTCTCTTGGCTCTCATCGCGCGAAGCAGCGGTAAATACACTTGGGTGACGGTTGCTTGCTGCGGCACTGAGTTGCCAGACGACGGAATGAGGGAAACGTCAAGCGGCTGGGAAGGAACGTGCTCAAGAAGCACTCGACCAGTCGCCCAGTGACATGGATTCCTCCTAGGCGAGGCCTCTTGCTCCACAAGCAAGTCACTCTGTCGAATATGAGCGGCGACCGACGCGAGTCCGTAGCGATGTCCTTGCGGCTACTGTGGTCGTTTTCGATTCCGCTGATGAGGATCGCGGACTCGCAGCGCGTGATAGTTCATTCAAAGCGTACACTAGATTTGGGAGAGGGCACGAGATGTCGTCTAACCTTGGACGTGCAGTCGCTTCCTCAAGGCTAGGCTTCGTCGCTCTCTGGAGCGACCTTAAGCAAGACAGAGCGCACTAAGAATTCCGACCGCGACCGGCGATGCTCCTCCGTCATTCGCTCCGGGGACTTCTTCCGAAAAGATATCGGAGAATTTTCGGAAGCTCTGCTGCTAACGAAGTCGTCTCCGAGGGGGGCTCTGCAGCGCTGGAAACGCTCCTCGCTTTCCTCGTTGACTTGGACACTCTCGCGAGCTGAGGCTCGTGTGGTGGGCTCACGATACAGACTGGACACGACGTCAGGGCGGATCTTCTGGTAGTTCTTCGCGGCCTTGGTCGTTCTTGATCGTCGCTTCGCTAGAGCCCTTTCGCATTCACTTTCACGAACTCATGCACCTGTCAATCCTAATGATTCTTCGAATGTAAGTGCGTCCAGCAGGCGACACCCGTGGTATGGTGACGTACAAGCGGTACCTGGGCCACCAGTCGTCGAGGCGCCGAGTGCTCCAAAGAGTCCTCTTCCGTGTTAACAAACAGCGTAACCATGGCGACAGGACAAGCTCTGAGGCCGCGATAGGCGCCGAGCTCCTCGCGGAAGGCCAGTGGGCGCCAGACGCACACGGAGCGAGTCCCACGGCGGGTTTTCCCACTCAATCGAGTATACGAACGAATCACAATTTCAAGCTCGACTCCCCGGAACGACTTCGAATCCAGTCGGCATCGCTCTAGTATTTCTGGATCACGGTATTCTCACACCACCGGTTGTTCAGGAATTCCGGCATGCGATTAATATTTGAGTGCAGCATGCACCGCGCATACCTATGCGAGACCTTGCAGTAGGATCGGACCTTCCCGACTGGACCGCGTTCCGTGTGTCACTGCCTCAGTTATTCGAGCAAGCCGAGGGTTGCCATTCGTTACCGGCAGACTCGCAGTACGTTCTCATCTCCCGACCGCGCAATTGCGCGGCTTCGGGATAATCCCCACGAAAATTCGGGACAGCTGCCCATAGAAATTCTGCACCCACCTTCATAGCCAGCTGATTCTTGACAGAGGTATCCAGTAAATGTTGCGCTCGGGCAGTCGCCTCTTCCCCGCGGATTTCTCGGCCGGTCCCGTGCCCGCTCCTCTGAGTGGCCTTCGCGAACGATGACAAAGTTCTCGCGAGAAGAGCCGCTGCGGAACGTTCCTCGAGAATCTCTGCATTTTTCTGGGGCGAAGCCGCACTACATTGTAGCACCACAACAATCGGAAGAAACACCGAGACACTCAAACCGGAGGGCAGCCTCATTGCTAGCGCAAAGCAGTTGACTTTACACCGATGACTACACGCTGAAGGACTGGGGAGCCTAGACCGGGGTTGGCGCTCTTCAGCATTTCACGCAACGGCTCCAGGAGAGGGATTTCAGCCCTTCCCGGAAAAATGCTCCGCCTGGAAGCCCGTGTTTCACGAGGAATCACGCCGGCTAGCCCATCGGAAATTGGGAAACATTGCATCGATGCTACGGGAAATACATCATGTATCTAGATATCGCAAGTGTGGGATAACAGCTAAAAACCACAATGGCCGTCCCGGTGGCGTCCGTGGCGGTGATTACAGCGATGCGATAATGATGAAAGTCTGAACACCGCAGTCGGCATGCATCGCTGAGATTATCGGGCAGGGCGCGAACTTCCAAGTCGGCATCCGGAACACGGGTCGCTGAGAGATTGAGGGACCGGAATTGGCTTCCTAGAGGGAGGAGGGGGTATGACTGTAATTAGAAAAGCTTGATTTGGATTCGATTCAATGATGAACCGCAAGAAACAATCATCTGAGATAGAATTGAGTATCGTACTGTCTACTTCGCTCACGCGTTTTACCACTATGAAAGAGTTCCGGTACCAAGCTTTCCGTTCAATGAGAATTCAGTCCGCGGAAGCGTTCTCAGAAGCATGGAGGCAGCGAGTAGAACTGGAAGAGCAAGGAAGTCAGCAGGGGCGCTTGCTGAAAAGACTCGAGGTAGAACGAGTGAATTATTTAGGGAAAAAATTCGCCATTCCCTTATTGAAGCTGTAAATTCCTCCTACCGGCACTTCGCATGGAATATTCGAATTCTCGACAGGAAAAATGCTCGAGCCATAAGTCGCAGCTGAGGTGAACTTTGAGGATCGCAGAAAAAGTATTCATCGCTCATGACAGAAGTGTTGACGCTGCGCGCGGGAATCGACTGTGAAGGATCTATGAAGACGGATTGTGGGAACCTCATTGGCAGATGGTTCGCAATTGGTGACGGAAGCGATCGTCACTCGATCGAGCTTGTCAACATTTAGTGATACCGTTCGTTGTTTCATTGTGCACGTCGCTTTCTTGAGATATTCTCGCTGAGTCGTTACGGTACCGCATATCTTCCCCACCCGAAGAGCTGAGGACTGACTCGCCGAGTATCTCGCCTTCTCAACTTTTTACTGACTCTTGGCTCCGATATTTTTTCGCTTCTCTTTCTCCGTCAGACACGAGTGGCCCTCACAGCGATATCAGCGACAAACTCCTATGGGTTTCCGTTACCCCGTCAGTCAGTGTTTCTCTCCCATGCAGCGGATTCGGTCTTTTTTTGTTCAGACGCGACCGCACATCTCTGGAAGAGACTTATGCACGCACCACTTAGCAGAGTATCAGCTGTCAGCCTGTAGTAGAGCGTCTTAACTTGCTTGTTGAATGGCCATCGCGCACGGACGGTCGACGGGACTTAACTAGAGCCGCGGGGAAAAACTCTGGTTTCCAAAAGGATACTGCGACAATGCCTGTCCACGGCTCACGAGACCGAGTGACCAACCCAGTACGCCTTCAAACGCCACCTGACGTCCAATTGTCGCTGGTGATGGTGGTGGTAGAAGACTCCGTTGGCTGGGAGTACCGTTACAGCGGTGTCTACACTCGTCAGCGGTACATGTGGTCATCGACGATTCGTATTGCTTTTGCGAAGTCAGTAGAACGATGGCGATCGCGATCTCTTCCTTCGCACGACCAGAGGCCAGAAATGGACTACTCAGAAGTCTTACGCCCTGGCCACGGCGTGTCGTACATGGAAAAGACGATGAAGGAAATTGCGGTAAGCTTGGGGGACGTAATATTCGGTTTCTCGTGGCTTGGCAGCGTATCTTCCCGGAGTGACAATTCAATTACCCCAATGCTCGTGACAGTGTGATTTTTGCGCGTCCGGCTATCGTCTTGACCCACTGCGGGTAACGAATAAACTCGAAGACTCCGGAATTATTTCGAGCGAAGACTTCCGCAAATGCGCGTCTAGGTATCGCCGAGCTCCTTCGCCAGCAGAGCCTCTTATCGGTATCGAAATCTGTGTAATCAACCGATGAAATGTGGATGAGTGTTGCTCGGAAAACGTCTCCGCAGAGACGTACTCTCGAGCGTAAGTTCAGCATTCGGTGAGCTAGTGATACTTTCTGGCTCTCGGCACAAAAGAGTTCAGTGGCGAAACGATGTCAACTGACCTGGAACCTCGACGGAACGATTACGCGTACGTTATGCCCGATCGCGCTCTACGGACTACGAATGTCGATTTTCAATTTCGCATCCGAATCCGAAACAGCGGTACAGAGATACTATCGGAGGCGTTACGCAATAATCTAGATACCCTCGAGTCAACGAACGGTCCCGAGACAACATCTGCTGCTCATGGGAACTTCGTAATTCCCAACTGAAGAGCGTTCGGACGCTCGAACAGAAGAAAAAAAAACGGCTCGTTTTCGCTACTGTCTCCGAAGAGCATAACTGGGACGGTGTCTCGGTCGACTTCTGCGATGACTCAATGAGAGACGAAGTGTGACGATCTAATCGAAGCACTGAAATCGCTTCCCGACCTCCAAAGCGCGGTCTCGATCTGCTGCAGCGCAACACTTGACAGATCCGCCGAGCGATTTGTCAAGCGACGATCATTCGCTGCCAGATCGTCAGCGGGCGGGCATTCACCTACGTGACAGGCTCGCACTTTCGCTTTCGTTTCTGTCGATCCAGTGCGCGCCTGATGATGAAACCGACAAACGCTCGTTTTTCGGCCTGTCGGATGCTGTCTGCGGCCGAGCTGTGTTTTGTGATGATGTTACGCTACTGTTATGTTGTCACTTTCCTCACCCCACCCGATTCATCGGCGGTTGGGTCTAGCGATGCGCTCGTCGGTCGTCCTCCCAATCGGTTCGACCGGCCCACGTTCCGTTCGTCTGCCTGATGTTTCGTCCGAGCAGCCAAGCAAGTGGCGATATCCGGTACGTCGGTCTGATTGATTGAATAAACATCGACTCAGAATATCAACATCGATAACGATATTCAAACATCATCGCAAGCACTCCGCAAGCCTCCCGAACCGATTGCGGTAAAGTCCTTTTTCTTTCTCGTTCCGTCTCCCGCCCTCGACGACAACGCTTGCCGGCGACGCGGTCGCTCCCAACATAGAAGTGTTCCATTTCCTTGACGGAGAAGATGTCACACTTACACAGAACAACTTCAAAACTGCTGGGAACGGAACGGCAGGCACCTTTACCTTCCTCTATATATATCCGCGGATACCCACGCGACAAGGATGTCATTATCCCGGCGATACATTCACATTCACGCTCGTGAGAGTTTTTTTCTTCTGGTTCCGCGCCTAAACTATCCAAATTC